CCGATCTTTCCACAAGCACTATCAAACTCGGCCAGCATTCGTTCCGCCTGCTCGATGTTCGGTGTTATAAGCACAATGTCGTCTGCAAAGCGGAGGTGATGTAGGAAGCGGCCGTCGACCTTCACTCCCAAGTCTTCCCATTCCAAATGACGCATGATATTCTCGAGGGCGGCACTGAAAAGTTTGGGCGAAATAGTATCGCCTTGCCGAACACCTCTCTTCACGTTGACAATGACTTCCTTATAGAATGGTGAAATCCTGGTCGTGAAACTGTCGTAGAGCTCACGAAGCATCCTTATATATTGCGTAGGAACACCCTGGTTGCCCAGGGCTTCAATTACCGCTTCTGTCTCAACGGTGTCAAAGGCTTTCTTCAAGTCGATAAACGTAAGACATAGCGGCATTTTGTACTCTCGCGATACTTCAATGAGCCTTGTTAGGGTGTGGATATGATCGATTGTACTGAACCCTCTCCGAAACCCTGCTTGCTCGCATGGCTGTCCTTCATCTAATATTCTGCCAATCCTGTTTAGGATGACACGAGTGAAAAGCTTGTAGATTACGGACAGCAGGCAGATTGGGCGATAATTGCCAATATCGTCTGGATCTCCCTTCTTGTACAGCAACACAGTCTTGCTAGTTTTCCACGACGTGGGCACTTTGCATTCCGACAGGTACCGTGTGAAGAGCCTAGCCAGAGTTTTGATGATGACTGGTGGTATACTCTTCAGATGTTCTGGTTTGATCCTATCGGGGCCGGGCGCTGTACAGTTCTTCATCGACGTGATGGCATGTCGTATTTCGGAAGGGAGAACCGAAGGAGCGATATATTCGTCTTGCCTAAGATGGTGAGTAGGCAGGTAGACGTGGCTGTCGAAGAGATCCGAGTAGAAGTCGTAGATGACCTTCTCCATTGCCCTCCGGGAAGCAGTAATGGTTCCGTCTGGACGACGAAGGGAGGTCATCTTGGTCTTGTAATTGGCGAAGCTCCGTCGGGTTTTGCGAATGCTCTTTCCGGCCTCGGCGGCTTCGTCCATGACTGCTGCTCTTCTCTCTTTCAGATCTTCTTTTATCGCTTCTCTGCATAGCTTCGCAAGTTCGGACGTTTGTTGATAATTGCCTGTAGCTCGCGCAATTCCACGCTGGCGTATCAGCTCGAGAGTCTTCGAAGAGAGTCGTCTCTTGGCTACTTGTAGACTCTCTGCTTTCGTAGCACTATCGTGAAGTTGCTCGACGAGCCGGTTGTATTCCTCGTCGATGTTGTCGATAACGGAATCCTCCCATTTACTCGCAAGGGAAGCGAAGTGAAGTGATTACCGCAGTTATTAGTAGAAACCACTGAACAGCCTATACAAGTTGCATGGAGGAGTATTTGACAAGCTGTCTAAACGTATGTGCCATTGCTTACAGCTTACTACAGTAAGCTGCCTGCGTGCAACGCTGCGTCCCGGTGCGGATGGTGAAAAACACGCAACCTTTCCAACGCCATGAGAACTCGCCAGGCTCGAGTGTACGTCGGCTAAGCTGGTTTCGAAGCCAATATTGAGCTCTACTTCAGGCCGTTTTTCAACCCAACAGCGTCCCTTGTGTTTTCTTGGAAGTCAAAGGTTCATCCCAGAAGGAACCTCAGAAACCACTTTAATCGTGGACTGTGCCTACAAATGTTTGAGCCATATACAATTATTGAAATATGCGTAGTGTGGTCGCAACCACTGTGTTTTTATATTAGGTTCTAGTAGGATTCATGGAAATGGAATATGTAATTTTTTTCATGAATGATGTTTTCAATGACTATGAAACTAAATGGTAGCTGTTGCGTAAGAGTGACAGTTTGAGGCGTCTGATGTTCGCTGTACCCCATCGATCGGTTATCACACAATCTCCTCTGTTGAAATGCTTCTCTTTTTTTAACTAGTGCTGTGCACCTTGGTGTTTTAGTGCGCACCAATGTTACGGGAGCAGCTAGCCTCTCTTCCATCAAATAACGCTATGGATTTTTTAGCGAGTGTTCGTAAGGTAAGTAAAACGTGTTTGTATAAGAGTGCGCACGTCTTTTTGCCACTGATACAATTGAAATTTTCATGCGTACTTCAGACTATCATTGCGTTACAGATCGCTCGTGAAATTGACGGGGAAGCCACGGTTGTTTCCGAAGATTTGGCCACAATTGAAGATGTATATCTACAAATCCTAGCCAGTCTTCAAAGGTGAGAGTAGACGAACGCATTCCCCTTTATCCTAGTTTTGTGGATTATAAGTAAGTCTGATCGCACGGCTTATGTTGGGCTCTCCTCCATTCGTGTAAAATTGGCGAGCCGCTTGTACAAATCAATGTTTGAAGCCCTGCTAAAGGAGAACAGGAGTTATTGAGTCAGGAGTTCCTCATTCTTTTGAAGGAATTCTACGTTAACGTCATATGTTGTCCATCGAATGCTTTTAGTTCTACGAATTCGCGTTTGGTGAATTCCGTTCGACCTTCTTCATGTCAGATCACCTAGACAAATGTGAAACTAATGGAATGGTCTCGAAACATTCTTCTTCAACACCCTGCTACTGCTGCTCCCTTATCTATACTTCCGAGAATTTCAAATGAGAATTCTTTGCAATCCCATCAATTAGCCACATTCATCGAAGCTGGTATTTCAATGCAACTAGGGTGTTTGGCTTCCACCACGCTCTCTCCCCTCTCATTTAGAATTCGAAATACCTCCTTAACTTGTGCTCTACCCCTTTTACTTTGTTCTCGAAATAATGAGTAATGAATAGCCTTTATACGAAAGTAAAGAATGATATTGATGGAAATCGGTCGACCGTTATCGAGCACCAAGTTCATAGCTGTTTTCTCACCACAGCTCTTCAATTAAGGTGTTTGAACAGTCTAAAAGAAACTGTTGGTAACTGACCAGTCACACAAAATTGGATATCTAAAAATCATTGTGTCGATTAACACGTTGACGACAGCGCGGGACATATATGTCCCGCGTTTCGCAGGCCACGTGGGACAACGCGGGACGCATGTGTCCCGCGATCATTCCGCAATTTTTTTTTGCGCATGTGTGATTTATTCATATGTTTTTTGTGTTTATATTATAGATCAAGCAGTAACAAAGCTATTAACAGAATGGAACTTGAAATGATCAGATATGCTTCATCTTCACACAGGTTTTCCAAGCCTCACCAAATTATGAGCCTACTTCAAACATCACTTTTATTGAGATCAATAAGCAAGTGAAATGAGAACATTGGAAGCAAGCTATTGAATTTGAGTTTTAACAGCATTGGGGAATTCTAGTTCTATGTCAGAAGATGACCGAGTTGGAAAGCATCTTCCGAGTTTTCTTCCCTCCCAGCCATTTTCATGTCTGTATAAGCTTTTTTAAAGCGGAATATTTATTATACAGAACATTTTTGTGTGCTTTTCATTTTATTAATTAACTTGCTAAGTAGCGATATGTAGTATATTATATTTACTCTAAAGCTTCGAAATCTCGCGGTCGACGGGGCCGCAAATGTTGCGTCGGTGCCACGCCGACAAAAATGCCCAAACGCGCGTTGTCGTCAACGTGTTAACGATTCCGCACAGTAAATCTGAGCATATCTGAACGTACATCTGTTGTCTGTTGCTCCTTGTTGGAGGGAAGCGAGGTAGTGAACAACTAGCCTCATACACAACAAATCGATATCTGTGGTTGCTGATCGATTGAATGATATCGATCTGTTCAAGTGCGGTGTAATTCCTTAACTTTTCAAGGGGCTTTAACGCTTCATGTTTCAAAGGTTAAGCCCTGAGCGTATGGTCAATTATTCAACGGTCGTAGTTGATTCCAGTGGAGCGGAGTTATGAACACCCTTTGATTACACAAAAGTCGATAATTATCGCTATTGGTTTCGAAAGGTCACAGCAGCAATTTTATATCAATCCTGCTCTCATGAAGGTTGAACATCCATGTTAAGAGGGAGCGAAGGTAACTCATGTCTAATTTGTTTCCAATCGGACTGTCTCTCCAAGGCTTTAGTTCCACTCATCATTCGTAGACACGATTACTATGAAAAGTTGGCCTTTCTTCGTTAGCCTCCACTCAATTTCTCCCGGTTCTCACGAATAAAGATTTTCGACCCTAATTCCTCCCTTTTCAGAACCTACTCCACCTACCATGTTAAACCTTCTATATGTACATAAAGAGTGTTGTTAAATTGCTCAATTACTGCGCGCCTATGCCCTACCCGGCTGTGTTTCAAGTCGTGCGTCCGAGGGCGCGCGCGACAAACTGCGCGGCGAAGTTCGTGGCGGATTTGAACGACTCCGGCGCTTATCATAGGGGCCCAAATCTGAAGTAGGGTAGATGTATAAGGTCAGTCAATCCTACTATCCTACTGTACACCAAAATTGGGCCCAAATAATAGGCGCTAAAGTCGTCAGAATAGGTGTGAATTTCGCCGCACAATTTGCCGCGCGCGACTTGACCGTCCCCGGCCCTACCCACCTTCGCATTTTCCCCATTATCTATGGTTGGGCTCCGGACTGTGTGTGCTGTGAGAAGATTGGCCAATAATTCACTAATTGGTAAGTGGTGACAGACAAATAGACAAGCAATCACACGCTTATATATGGTAAGAATAACTATTCTGCTGGTTTTCTAACTTTCGTCGTTATCGATGCACTACTCTGGGCCACCACTTCNCGTAACTCATTTTAAAAAGTATCTCAAATTTATTGTTAACAATACTCTTAACTTGATCTGTAATTATCCGCTGGATCTGTGCTGTGCTTACTGTTCTGAGGTTTCAGTACTGTGATTTATGCACTCATAAGGAGTGCTTGTGCATGGGGTTCCTCTTACGTGCGGGTCTGTCAGGAAATACTCTAACCAGTACTTTTTGATTTTTAGCGCTGTGCTCCTCCAATATTTCATCGCGTTACAGTTACAAGCGAGATTTGTTGACACTGAAGGAACAAACATGTATGCTGTGTAAACAATATAGGGATTTCGTCACTTCGTTTATGGATGCAATTCAGAAGGTTTCCTTGCTGCTCTCAGATTGTTCTTCGCTCTCGATGTTCAGAGAAACCTTTTCTTATCTAACATACCCCTGTTCAGGACCATCCCGACCTGATTCCACAACTCAAGGCACTCTCAAGAAAACAGGTTTTGTTACAAAGGTAGATGGCGTGTGACGTTTGCAGAATGTGATATATCATGTTAAACTCATAAGTTCTGAGATCAAGGGTCTTCATTCAAGGTTGAAATGGTCAAACTGTGCCAGAGAATTGCTGACTTCATGCCGAATGGAAATGAAGAACAACAACTGTGATTGGCCTCATCTTTCTGAGTGCTTTGGAAAAGCTTGTAAACTTGCACAAGNGCATATTGAGGTCTGAAACAAATAACCTTGTCTGAAGTTCGCAGTTCATTGATTTTTATTCATTACGAATCATCGGTGAAGGCATTCACTAATTTCAGTTTATTCATCGCTTTCTCAACAAAAGATCTAGGTATTTTGTCCCTCGGTAATGAGCCTCATGTGGCGCTCATTGTAGACTGCGCAACAACGATGTTTATTTTAACTCACAATGAGACCAATCGGATCACCCGGGACGCTAGGCTTCCCTCCTTCTTATGACAGAGTCATGATAATCGGCAAACCGGCCGATCCTTTTCTGGAACATATGGTACTTTTCTGAACATGAATTTTGTTATAGGACTAACAGAGCAGTGCAAAAGGTAATCAATATATGCCTATGCATATGTCTATGGTTAGAAGACCCGATTTCTTGGAAGAATTACCTGATAAAGATCTGTTAGGCATTCAAAATCTTGAATGCTACTCTCGAACATCATGCCTGGTGACAATAACAGTTGAATGTTGGCAGTGCATCCTATGGAAAAAGTGACTTGAGCCGAAACTTTTTCTTCTTTTCTATGTTCTTTGACCCTTTCAATAACGTGTGAGTTCCTTAAGAATATGCCTGTTTTACCAGGTTATCTCATAAAAGAACAGTCTTGGAGGTTAATACTCGCGACGATTGCTCTCAAAGAACTTGAATGATCTCTAACTACGATCATTTTAACGATTTGAGAGCTCTAATGGTTTCTGTGCGTTAATAATTATTCAATATTCTATTGCAGCTCACAGACAACTCACGTGCGACTTTTACTGATGGCTTACATGCCTTGGCGCAGGATTTGAATGAACTTGCGCGTACAAGGTTGGACGAGGTGTTTTGCGCAATAAAATATCCTTTCGAAAGTCTAGTAGGTAGAGCTCTATTTCAAATACTTTTTGGTACCCGTCCATATCATGAATAACTGTTTTTTCTTAAAGTTTATTCACAGATACCCGCGCCTATGTAAACGAAATGAAAACTATTGCCAGTATCCTCAGTTTGATATATCTCATCACAGAATATTTACAGGAAGGAACGGGGTTAGTCTTAGATTGAAGAATTGTTTTTATTGATTCACCACCTTTATACTCATGAAATTATTTATAATTGTGCGTTTCCTGTTTAGTTCATATTAAGGTATGAAGAAATCTACCGAGTTCTTCTCCTTCCTTTCGGTAAGAGATTCATTTTCCATTTTTGCGAAGACCGCAAAACAAGCGACGTTTGGAAACCGCAATGGTAGTCTTAGTTTACGTTATTACTCGTGTGTATAACCATTTCCAAAGTACGTCATTTCAGGTATCTAAGCCAGACTTTAAACTGGATGCAGGCTAATCTTGCTTTTTTCGTCTCGACTATTGGAAGTGTTTTTGAGCCGTCGGTAAATATTAAGATGTTCGTTAAAGATTATTCAGAAATTGATGTAGGGTCTGGATTGTATGTTTAACAACAAATTTGCCATTGGTTAACTTCTACGGGTCGGATCGCCCGGCTGACACCGGATTCTCCTTCGTCATGTTTTAGAGTTGGCCCGCCGTCTGCATTCTCCCAAGTTTGAAAGCTCTGATCCAAAAGAAGAGGAGCCATTGATTTCCAGCGAAGCACACATACACTCGCAGACGCAATTCGTGCGCGCCTGCTCCCCATGAGCGAAGCCCCGTGTGTTCTAGAAACATTATTTATCCCCCTCTATTTATACTTTACTGCATGCTTTAATCGGGTCATGCTCATTTCACGTATGGTTCGCTTCCTCCATAATTCCATGTCTCCTCGAGCTGGATCCGGTTCTTTCACTTTCTACTGCCTACCAACGGTGTCCTTATCCTGCCCCCTGTCCTCGTGCCAAATTTGAACGCTCTAGATCGTGAGAACGGTAGTCATGAATGTCGCTCGAACATTTATTACGCGCAAGCCCCGTCTCCTGTGGGAGGAGTCCGGTTCTTCCACTCACCATAAGTGCCCACATCCTGCCGCCCGTACTCGTAGCAAATTTGAATGCTTTAGGTCCACTGGAACAGGAATTATGAATATCCGGTCACACAAACACACCAACAGACACACTTAGCGGATTATATAAGTAGGATAGAATGTGTATAGCTATGAACATAGTCGACATCTAGGAACGGTATATGGGGAAGTTATTTCAACATATTGAATTCGCAAGTATTGCAGCGCAAAAGTCTCTTTAATCTTTGCTTGCTAGATTTTTTCTTATTTCCTTCACGATTATTACTTCTTTCTATTTTTTTTCAATCACTCGGTGGAAATGCACCAAGACTGAATCAAGGAAATAATTTTGCAATCCTTCTCCCTTCCCGTGTTTCAAATTGTTTGCAAATGAGTTCTACGTTTCTTGTTTGGATTTTTCAGATATATATATGTATATATATATATATATATATATATATATATGTTTACGTTCACTAAACCTGAATCATTTTGCGTACAAATAAGTTATCATGTGACTACAACTGTTATACCACCNGGTGGTATAACAGTTGTAGTCACATGATAACTTATTTGTACGCAAAATGATTCAGGTTTAGTGAACGTAAACATATATATATATATATATATATATATATATATATGTTTACGTTCACTAAACCTGAATCATTTTGCGTACAAATAAGTTATCATGTGACTACAACTGTTATACCACCACACCTTAGGGACCTCCAAAGTCACCGGAGTTCGCTTTTTACAAATATCTCTCCGAACTACCGATAGCGAAAACTGGAAAGCTTCTGAAGCAAGAGATGGTGGGTTATGCTTGTGGCTGCTTGCTTGCTTGTTTACAGTTGTGCGAGTTTAACACAACTGTAAGCAAGTTTCCGTTGTGGAAGCGATGTAGTTGTGTGATGTAGTTTCGCATTCAGGTGTTGAATGATGTACTGCTGTTCTCCCATCTTCTCGATGAATGTTTATCTTATGAGTCGCAACTTCGAGGTATTGACTCTTGTAGTTAGGATGAGAACATTTCAAGAGTGTAATATGTCATTCCTCCACAACATTTAGTAAACAGCTGGGACACAGTTAAATGAAGCGCACTTGATTGGTTATTTTGAACCTTCGGTAGCCACCATAATGTTGATAGCTTTCGAAAAGTTTCGAATGTTTCGAGATTTGCAAAAGTTTACAATACTGCGCGGAAAATTTTAAATTAAGTATTAGTGGGCTTGGTCACTCCTTGCAACCTTCTCCTTGTGTATGGGTCTTTTCTCTGTATTCCCGATTACACTGTTGATGACTTTTGTGACATAGTCAAAACCATAAAAGGCTGTGTTGGAAGTTTCATACAGTTTGGTACAACCGTATCTCCTTGCAAGCTGTCTTCTATTACAGAAATCTCAAGTCTCCATCCTCATGGTTTTACAAAACTCATGCTTCCTTAGAATATGTTCCCCGCTCGTGTAATTCCGCTTCAGCCACCAAACAAATGTGTTAAAGTGATTAAGTATGACCTTTGAGATTCTTGTGTCATTGCAGATATAGATCCTGACGGGTACTCGTCTTCTATCCTCACACTCTTCTGTGATCAGGATGTGTTAAACAAGTGGATAGAGGTACTGAACTGATATAAGTTAAACAATCATTAAAAGCGTGGTAGCAGCATCAAGTAGTTGCGCAATTATCAATGATAATGTAAATATCGTTGTTTTGGAGCATTAACATTAAGCGAAGTTATCTACATCAAATTAGACATGAGAGTAAAATAGTGATTCAGTTAAAGCTTTTGGTCAATACTCAGATCGAAAACGAATGTTGTCTGGATCGTATGGATGAAATGCTTTCAGCTCCTGATCGTTGGCAGAGCCGATTTCGATTCATGGAAGAAGCTGATCAGGTTAAGATCTGTTCAATTAAAATTTTTAGGTATTTCGTTAACTTGTTCGTCGAGTGTCACGCCGTTTCAGTACTCGGTGTGCAACTGTGTAGACGCTTTTGTATCAATGGTTCAATCGTTAAGAAGTCGAGCAAAGCTTCTACCAGATAAAGTTGCGCAGGTATGAAGAAGAAAATTTTATTATTACTCTACTTGAAATTCTTTAAGCGAAAATTTCTTCATTTACAACTCTTCCTCACTGATGACTTCCGCAAGCGACTTGTGCAGATTGCAAATCAGGCGGAATCACCTTGGAGCGAGCCGTTCCCTAACGTGATGAACGCTATATGGTAGGCTGTTCATTTACATGTGGTGGTGTATTTTAGCGCATGGGTGAGAGGGGAGAGGGCAAGCCAATTATCTACTGTCGTTATCAGGCTCGGTGGTCTCACCGCTTATATCGTCCATTCACGGTGCGCCTCGGCAGCAAAACAAAAAAANAAAAAAATGTTATTACGGTCCCACCAATCCTGGGCTTCGCTAAGCTTACGCATGCCCGGCACGCATTAGGCTCTACTTACTCTTTTTATTTTTTCCTGACCTTAATGCCTTCGTTAAATCGAGTTATGAATCTCGGTGGAAAACACCGCCCACTGCGAGAACGCTCCTCCCACCGGCGTTGATTGTTGACCCATATCTCACCTTTGCACTTTTTTTTCCGGCGCCTGGACTGTTATGAGACCGAATGAGAAGAATTTGCCCATGGCCCAATTCCGGCGCATGCTCCGCTCCTTGGGGGTAGAGCACCTTTTGGCTCGCATGTTCTCTGTTGCCAGAGTGTTTGTTACCTTATCTCAACCCATTAGAAAGTTGACCCGACTTCTACAGGTGTTTCTTCAGGTTGTGTCGAATTTCCGTGCAAGCAAACAGACAGACGCGAGCGCTTTGTATTAGTGAGAATAGAAACACTGACTTCTACATCTGGCCACCGTAAGTCGTTGTATAGACACATACCCGTTCAATATGCCACTACGATCCAGAATGGGAGTCGGATGCGTAGGTGCATCCTTCAGGCGGGCTTAATTAAGGCTCCAAACCTTTAGCTTATCTCTCTTATTTATAAAGCAGTAGCATGGCGTGTCGGTTTGTCGGTCTCCTCTTTTTCGTCTGAAGTTGGCCTGCCGCCCACGTCCCCCACCCCCTCTCCAAACTTGGAAGCTCCGGCACAGGAGAGCGGAACTTATGTATTCACGGCCAAACACCCTCACTTCGTGGGCGCTTTGTCCGCCATGATCGGAATCCTGCTCAACTCATGTGTGCTTTGGTGACTTGTTTTCCCTCTTCTTTCAACTTCAGTTGCCTCACCTGCCATCGGATGTAGGAACTTTCCCCGAATTCTCTTCCGCTGAGAATTCGATTTTTTCCCCTTCACAACGCTCGATCGCGTGCGGTGAGTACGACACGCCCCTCGGGAAGAAGCTACCAGACCCCTGTCCTCAGCATTTTCGTACTACGGCTTGTACTCCTACCAAATTTGGACGCCCCTGATCCAAATTGACCATTTTCGGGTATGCCGCACCTCTGTGGGTGGAGTCTGGTCGTACCTCCTAACAGCAGCATTACCATACTGCCGCCTCTACCCCTATCAAATCTGAACGATCTAGATCCTATTTAACAATTTTAGCGAACGCTCCGCTCTCTAGGGGAGAGGCTAATCATGCCGCCCGCCATTGCCTGCTTTCATAGGCAAAGACATTTTGTTTTGATCTTGCTTTTCTTTGTTTTCAGCCCTTCGAAGGATCTTAGGCGCGACGCCACCGCGTCGAAAGGTCCCGTCTGCCTCCCTCCCCCCTCCTAGCTTTACCTCGGCTGGCACGCCGGCACGCCGGCCGGCCGGCGGACTATGAAAGCAGCCATGAGATTCTCCATCCCGCTGCCTGTACTGCTACCGAATTTGAACGCTCTAGGTTCACGGGAACAGGAGACATGAGTTTCCTGTCGAAGATACACCGCCCACACACACCGACACACCCACACAGACTTGAAGAGTTGAAACACTGTACCACTAAAGGGAACAGAGTGACCACTGATCGGTCAATAACATGAAAGGTAGGTGTAGCAAATCACCTAATCGACCAACAATCCCGCATCGTAGGCCTAGGCAAATAGAGAAAAGACAAACAGAGAAACAGACATACTGGCATTTGTGGTTTACTTGTAATCAATCGGATGACCCGGCGTGCGCCGGGATCTCATTCCCTACTGTTGTTCGCTTTTATCCAACACTGGGGACTAAAGTGCAGAGAAGGAAGGGTAGCCGACCTCGCTCCTGTGCTTAAAAAAAGTTCTAGGGGAAAGAATATGGTTTTTGCCTAAACCTTAGGAGGGCAGGAGCGCTGGGGTGGAGGTGATATGATAACCTCGAGCCAAAAGTTAGCATGGGGGATGAGTTGAATATTCAATTGGCTCACTGACCCCGGTGCTCCTTCCCTCCTCAAGCGTAGGTTCGAAATTTCTATACTCATGGTTAAGAAACGTTCCTGAGCACAATTATGACCAGGAATATTCAGATTTCGGACCTACGCTCACCTCCTTATCTGCGGTCTAGCGCTCAATGTTGAAAAAAAGCGGAGCTCTCTCAACTGCAATATCAGCTCCGTTTTTTGTATGAACGATGCCGATACGGCAGCGTGATGCCCAAACAGATCGAAATCACAGTTTTGAAGTACCCACTTCACTCCACACCGCTCACTTCGCAGTGCTCACTCTACTTTATTACCCTACCCATCGAGTTACTGCTTTATATATAAGAAGGAAATGTATAACAGAGCTGGGTTTTCTATATCAATACCTTACCTAATAAAGAAATCATAAATTTCACGGATGGGCAGAAAGACAAACCGACAAGCATTTATACCAACAAACCGACAAACCGACACACCAAATTGTTGCTTTACAAGTAAGGGAGATAACCGTTGGGTACCGTTCCAGGACTTCTATAAATTCTAACAACCTTTTTTCCGTGTTCTTAAACAGCTAAGAACAGGCTGTTGAATTATCGACTTTAGCCCCGGCCCACCGTCGAGCGAGCCATACCTACATTGGTTGCTCGACATGTTCTTTCACAGCGTACTCCCTTTATCTCCCTTTATCATACTTTCGCCCTCCTTCACTTGTCCACATTAGTTTGGATTGTTCTATGCTTAGGGCTGACTCCTTCACTGCGTTATAGGCCTCCCTGGGCTCCACCCTATGAAGTGTACTCAGCAAGTGAATACGCTCCGGCCACTCCTTCAAGTTGTCTAACAGGATCTGGGCATACTCCATAGACCTATCACTTAATCTGCAGGAGGGATTAGCGTGGCGACCCAACTTCTCTAACACCACGCAGAACTCCGACACGCTTTGACCCGCTCTACGCCTCAGGTTCCTCAGCTCTCTCAATGCCCGAAGTCGTCCTGCTGTAGAGTCGTTGGCTAGTAACTTTCTCAACTCCTCTACCACGGCATCGAACCCTTGCCGCTTCACTTCGTTTAGCAAACTCAAAATACACTCTTGGCCCTACCATCCAAATGGTCATCATCATCGATTAGAATTTGCTCATCCATAATGACCGTCCTATATTTCCTTTCAAATCTTCGCATAAACCCATCAAAATTTTCCGACCTAGACCCCTTGAGTAACCCAGGACCTATGCACGCATTCGCCTGCATCAAAGCTATAAACTTTGGAACTTCCTGACCTGATGTGCTGACTGCTTGTCCTTCCAATTTCTCCAAACGCTGCCTCCAGGGTAGACCGTAAGGCGCTCCAGTCTGGCTTGCTGTCATCATCGAATTCCTTCTCATCTGAAATTCTGTCTCTATAACCCCAATCTCCTGTTACGGGATTGTCTTTCCAATTCACCTGTGTTAGTATCCGTGTCCATTTGATCATCTTCCTTTGGCGGGCTTCGGTGTGATTGCTGACGCACGGTGCGTTGTACCTCTCCCAGTACATTTCGAACCTCCCGACCGTTAGTCTGAAACATGTCGCATATATCAGCAGTCAGCTCGCCATCAAAATACTCTATAAGATCATCTATTGTGTCAATGCCTTCAGTGCGTAGGGTTCTAAACAGTTCCCGCCCAAACTGCTTATATCCCACTACGCTAGCTTTCAAGTCTTCCAGCATTTTGCCTGTTACTGGCTTCACTTTCCAATACTTGGAACAACTTGGTTCTGTATTTCCCCGCTATACGCGCCTCTTCCAATTCCCCTACTCTGATGGGTATCTGCCTAATCCTCACTAAGACCCTCTCTAATTCTTCACCAATTTCAACTACTGAAAACTCTTCAGCTTGGTTACTCGTCTGCGGTGCCTGTGTCTTCAACTGCAGTGTGGGACCCTTGCCTGCTGGACTCGCTAAATTCTCCGCCATATTTCTGGAACACACAGTATTATTATCCATTTCTTTGACTATGCCGACGATAAACGAAGAACGGCGGCAAAAGAACAATACGAGTAACGAGCAGTAACACGATAAACGGTGGCGCTAATACGAGCTCTCACTTCAGCTTCACGCTCACTGCGCTTTTCGCCAGTCACTCGTTCTTTCCACTTTAATCAATACTCACAACCTTTCTTAGGATCGCCCCTTATTGGCGAGCCTATCCTCGACTACTGTATTCTGATCTGCGGCCTCTCTCACTCTTCGGCCTCACAAGTCCGGTGTATGTTTCACGATCGATATCTCCTCTAGCGGTTCGGTCCCCATGTACCGAACGTCTGGTTCGGTAGTGAGGTATCGATACGAGAAACGTGTGGAAAGAAATACACCGAACTGTATTAATTCGTTTATTGCAAAAAAAAANAAAAAAAAACGAAACAGTAACAAATAAACGAAATTCGATAAAAACAAAAACAATCTGCAACACTGAAAATAAACAAAATAAATGAATTACTGCGAAGAAGAGGGGGAACGGCAGAGAAGGGACGTGGGTGGGGGGACGGTCACTCAAAAAAAAACTCAGAACACAACTCCATTTCCTGTCCCCCTTTTATGTTGTCTGTTTTCCGCCCAACGCCCTCCTCTTCCTAGTGCAGATCACTGACCTGCTCACTGACACTAACCGTTTTCCTCACACTCCAGAACAATCCAGAGCAGTCAATAGTTTTCGATTATAGTCCTATCAACTGACCAACCTCGTTGCAACCCCCGCATATTTTACGCGGTATGAGGGCGTAAAACCTACAGGGTAAGAAGTGCACGGCCCGTAAAAATGGCGAATATCACTGCTGTTCCTGATAGACAGTTTTAAATGATGAAGTCTTGGGGCGTTAATCCCGTCGGAGGAATGCGCCACTTGTCACTACACAACCTCCGCTCTATGGATAGTAGTAGTGCCAACATTTCCCTGATTGAAGTTGGTTGAGGTTCGATGAAGAGCACTCAATCATTAGCCATCAGCTCTTGCTTCATAGAAATATCCTTTTCCTTGGTCCCTTCGTTAATCAATCTGTTGTCATGCAATATATGAATCAAGCTGTGTATGTTCCTTTTTCATTGAATGCAGTACTTCTGGATCGAGAATTTTTCCTTCTACTTTTCACGTTTCTCGAATTTTTACCTATTCAGGTACCTCAGACATGTCGTAGAGGAATGGAGCGATTCTTGCTTATTAAACGAACTCACTTCATCAAGCGGACGCGCAGTGTTCGAGGAGTCATCGGCAATGTTTAAGTGAGAGTGCAATATTCAGAGGGGGCCATACGTTTTGTGTTGAATTGCTTGGTTGTTTTCCTACTCGTATTTTCAGGCACGTGTGGAATCAGATGGCTGAAGACGTAGTTACATCACTACGATTGCAAACTATTGATGCAATGAAACCTTATCAGCAACATTTCTGGTATGAATTTTTTATACTTCTTCTCTAATAATTCTTGAGACTCTGGTTCAGGTGCTTCATGGAGCCACGGCTTGGATCTTCTTCACGTGATCTTACCGCTTTATTTTGTCCTGTTTTGATGAAGATTCGCACCACTTTCGCAAAAACTGGTGTACAAATCTCCAAGGTTTTTCTTCCTCAGTTTCTTTTTTTGACTGATGACGTCACTATTCACATTAATATCTTTCATAATCAGTTGCTCACGCACGCATGCTAACGCGTGCACCTTATGCTCACTATCGCTTACCTACGATTTATTAGAGTACCAACAATAGTGTCGGTTGACTTCCCATTTCATCACTGTTTCCTCAACGCGCTCACGTGATATTTACATCTACATCGTGCCTACGTGACTTTCGGAAGGAAAAACAGACATACAGACAAACGGACGTTTGCGGTTTATATATAGTAGGATAATGACCCTTACTATACATAAGGCGCTCGCGTCTGTTTGTTTGTTTGTTTGTTTGTGCACAAATTCGATTTTACCTTAAGACTCACTTGAAGAACTCGGGCTAGGATTGGGATGGGTTGGACACAGGACAAGACCATCAGAGCACGTAGCTCAGCGGAGCTCTACGGGGGACACGGCATGCACGACAGTAGGCGGTGTCTTGAGCAAATTCTCTGAAGTGGGTCCCGACGCCAAACGGAAAAATGGGCGAAGGTGAGGGATGGATCAACAAATGAGGTGAAAGTGACTAACCGGCGGTGGGCGGAGCGTTCTCGCAGTGGGCGGTACTTACCACAAAATTGCAACTCGATTCAAGGAAGCGTGAAGACCAGAGAAAAAACAAATCGAGAGAGCAAGACTTAATTTATGAAAGTTTGGCATACGCTAGAACGTCGAAGCTCCGCCTACTGTAGGCGGGGCTGCATTCAAGTGTTAGGTCTTTCTTGAAAAAGTTCATAACTCTATTCAAAAACGTTCTATAACGTGAAAGTGTTTAGAAGCTATAGAAGAAGGGTGGGGCTAGGAAAGAACGTTCTTATAATTGTTTAAAATTGTTCTAGAATGCGGGAAAAGTGGTTGGAGGCTATAGAGGGAAAGTGGTCAGGTTCCTGAAGTGAGCGGGGTTTGCACTATGATGGGCGGGCCAAGATCAAAGTTCGTAACTCTGTTCAGCAACGTCTAAAGTGCGGGAAGACAGGGATTAGAGGATAGGCAGGGATGTGGTGAAATCCCTGCCTCGGGCGGTGTTTGAACAGGGTTGCGCGGTGCTAAGAACAAAAACTCGTAACTCTCTGGTAAACGTTCTAGAATGCGGAAAAAATGTTGAGGGGCCGCTAAAAGAAGGGTGGTCATATTTTCGTAGATGGAGGGGTTTGCATTGGGTGGACGGGGCTACGGTCAACCACCAATAATTCTGCTCAAATTGAAATTTTACGGACTACCCTCAAAGCGGTTCAGCGTTCAAATCTAGAGAGAACTATCTTATTCTGATAATCCAACGTTCCGCTGAATGACTATATCGTAGATTAGCGGTCGTGAACATGCAGGGTGTCCCAAAATTATTTGCGCCAAAGTTCAGAAATTTTTAAGGTAGAAATAATCTATCAAATTCACATTACCTGATATTAATTAGTTGCATAAGAAGGCTTCCTTGCAATATGCATGGTTGCTGATGTGGAACTCTCATTATCTTTCAGATGGAGGAGGCTCATTCAATGCCATTTGCAATCATTGCGCGTGAGAAGTGGAAGGGCGTTATGAAATTCTTTGGGATTTTTCTAATAACCGTATAGGAGGCTATTAAACGATATAAAAAGACGAATGAATCAGAGACGAACCAGGAAAGATAAAAAGGTAGAATGTTCCTGAAGATAGGGCTATTTAAATGGTCCGTATGCCAATCGGTCGGGATCCTGGGTGACCCATCAAAAGGAAGACAACGGGCACGGCTTATCCGAGTTATCGCGATGGAAGAATGCCATGCAGGAGCTTCACTGCCGTTCCTATCGTATGCAGAGATTTCGCTTCAATTCCGATCTCAACAGATACTGCAG